ATATTATATATAAATTAGAAATATTTCTAATAATTATGTGTTTATTTTTGGTTTTTTATAGTGATATGAGTTATTTTTATTTTTTATTATAAGTTTTTTATTATAAGTTTAAGTTTATAAAAAGAATTTCTATTTTACATTGTGTTCTACTTTACACTTCATGGTAATAAAAAAACAAATAAAGACGCTTTCTGATCAGATACCGATCATGTACTTTTCCTTAGGGCGGATATGTGAAAAGTGAAAAATTTTTTCATTAATTTCAATTATAAAAATTGTATTTCCGCTCTAGGGAAAAAGAGTACATATACCCTGATGTTTTCAGTTTGGTTGTCCGGATTCTGGACTACTTAAGAGCAACTTAACGAATTTCCTTGGAAAAAATTGAAAGACTCGAAGTTCCTTTGCCAAGATGACGTCGGTGGATTGAATCGGAGAAATTCTTCAGAAATAAGAAGCAAGTCATGACTTATAATATAATTAATATTATAGGTATATATGTATTATGAATATGTATGTATGTATGAGAAGTAAGTTATAGCGTATTCATGTGATATACGTATATTGATATACAATCGACAAGACAGTTTACATAAATCTTTACAACAGATAAATTATTGCTTGTAAATAGTGACCAGATTAGCGAAATGCATTAAACATGTCTATCTGTTCATAAGCACGTATTATATATATATATTTTTATATTATAAAATATGCTATAAAATATGCTATAAAAAAGGTAACAAATCTAAATTGGCTACATTATTCGATATCCAAAGGATATGACATAATCTATCAAGATCTAAGTAAAGTTAAATCTTTTGGGAACGTATCTTTGGAAATTTTCAGTCTTCGTTTAACTCTTTGAGTCATCTGTCATATAAATGATATGCAACACAAATAAAATAGGGCATTACAAAATATAGACATAAAAAAAAATCTTATCAAAGGCTACACTGTAAAAAATATTCCTTCTCTTTTCACGTATAATATAAACTCTGACTTTTACACAAAACACACATGCATATTTTTATGTAACGTATAGAATAATTTAATATATTGGTCGCGTCAAGTAGAATATTTATTTTGCAACTGTCGGAAGTTTTCTTCGTTGAGATAAAATTATTTCTCTAGATCTAAAAGTATAATCTAATTAATGCAAAAAAAACTTACAATAATTGCAGAATAAACTACTGAACACAGCCATTGTTCAGGCATCTGCAACCATATGTGCTGCACACATTCTTTGAACATTATGGAAATATTTTTTATATAATAGAAGAGTATTCGAATAATTCAATCATTTCTTTCTACGGAATGAGTTTACCAATTATCGAGAAACTCAAATCCAGTCTTTGGTATGCTTCTCTCTTCATCTTCTTGATTCAATTGGGATGACTGAAAGCTACTATAGGAACTGGGTGTTTCTAACAGAGCGGTCGATTCATTTATGTCGCTCGATTTCGTTCGTGATGTCACCACTAAAGTATTCGATTGACTTTTGTCCGTATCGGAATCCCTCATCAAACTTTCCAAGTCATCCTCGACATTACTTTGTAACTTCAATAAAGAAGTCTTGTTGATCAATTTAACAAATATACTGTCAGAATGTTCGCTGTCAATTTCATTTGTCAGTAAATCGCTGCACTGATCATTTTCAAATAAATCGTTGGTGTAACAATCTGATGGATAACTGACTTGGTGTAGGGAGTTATAGTTATCACTTAATGAGCAATTGTTTCTTTGTGTCTTCGCAGGACTAGAAAAATGCGGTAATTCTCCAAAATGAGTCCTCATTGACCTAGATTTTACATCTTCGTTGGAATCTATCAGACTAAGATTCATCTGTGATTGAGTCATAAACGAAAATGGTGCAGAGTGTTCATCTCGCCATCGTAACGTCTGTAATACAGTGAAAAAGTTATTAGTTTGTTTAATTTTTTTTCATAAACATTGATGATACTATACTTACTGAACCGGTTTCATCTATGACATATTTCATTCCAGTTTGTATGCGCAGTTTTGGATACCACTCAGGTAACTCCTTTGTCAACTCGATCTTCTTCAAGGTGTACTTCAAAGCTATCTCAGGCTGAATTATAGTCTCGTTGATGGCTTGATTGCGCTCCGCTGTGTTCAAGGTGCTCCATAGTCCTTCATAGGCCTCCTTCGTTGCTGTTATATCCTCACCGATCCTTCGAGCTATAGGATTTATATTAAAAAAATATTCCTCTGCTCTTGCAGTAAGAGTGCTGGAGCTCATTCCGTTGCGCTAAACCACAAAAATTTGATGATGGTCAAATTAATCATAACATGATTATAGACTGTGTGTAAAACATAAAGATAAATCTACGACTAGGAACGTTAAAATTATATTCTGATATACATACTAGCTTTAATAATGACATAAACAAAAGGAGTGAGCGTTATTATGCTGACATAATAATTATTAATTATTTCGTTATATCACAGGATAATCGGATAAACGTTTAACGAAAGTAAGTCTCGAATACACGTAAACTATCATCGTTGAAGAATTCAACGTATCAAGAAAATGTGTTGACCACTGAAACGAACGTGTCAATTGAGGATAATTAGGGAGACCGTAGAAGCCATGATGGCAAAACTTGTTATGCGCTTGCGCCTTCTAGAAATAAAATAATGGACACATTCAAGCCGGCAGAGCAACTATCTTGCTTTCGCTGAAATATGTATGTTGAATAAAAACTGCTAGTTGCTTTATCGCAGCAATGTCAGCTGCACAGTATATTTTATCTTCCCTTTCTAATTAACAATTTAATATTTGTAGTATTTATTACGTTTATTAATTTTTTTATATTTGTTTTTGTTATTATGTTTGTTTTCTAAGTATCATAAATGTTGACTAATCTATTGATTAATTCATGCTTTCGTAGTATTGTTCGTGTAATATTTTATTAATTTTTAATTATAAAATGAAAATAATTCTTCAAAACGTAATGTTATTAAAAAATACATAACATGTACGTTAATAATTATAGGATTACTTTTTAATGATTACAATAATTTATGGTATTAATTATAACTTTTTTTGTAAAAAATTATAATTTACCTTATTCTGGTTTTCCAATATTGAACCAATATTGGAAAGTCAATCTCTGCTTAATATTGGCTATATATTATCCAGCAAACGAGAATGGATTGAAATTTTTTTCCAAATGCGTATTTTAAATAGCGAATATTTTTTTTAGATTTAATTGGATTCAATTAGATTCAATTGGATGCAATTGAAAAACTGCATTTTTTATTTAAAATTTTGAACAGTATTTCTATTCAAAATTGAATAATATTCATAATTGTGTTGTTTTGCACAGAAAAAGTTAATATTATTTTTAGATTGAAAGGCATAGAGATATGCTCCAATTCCTATAAATGAATAAAAATGCATTCAGGATTGAAAAGCATTCATTTTAATATTCGTGAATCGATATTTCTGAAAATCTAAATCCATTTCAATTCATTTCAATCCATTCTCGTTTGCGTAGTTTTCCAATATTGGAAAACTTATATATAGCCAATATTGGTCTAATATTAGAAAACCAATTATATAGCCGCTATAGATAAAAACGACTGATTATTATATAGTCATGCAGTATTTATTTCGCTTACCAAGCAAGTCAACTGTTTCGTCAGTTCGAATACATCCAATATAATATCCTGTGTTGTCAGGATAAGTACAATAATCTCAGCAAACTTATTCTGTAATTTTTAATAACGACAATGTCGATATCGCTGTGTCGTTGCGCAGCTTCTTTACCATATCAATTATCTGCGCAACGATGCTGTAACGATATCGACATTGTCGTTAAAAATTATAGAATAGCAACAGGAATCTGCCATTAGCCTATGGTAAGTCTGAAACATCTTGTATGTATAGTTTTTTCATAGTTGACCTTTTTTTTTTCAAAATTTCTTATATTGTTAATGACAAACTTGATTGTATAATACTAATGGATAGGAAATTGCAATGAGAGAGTCGAATGGAAAAAGTAACATGCCTATATTATTTTTTTTTTTGACGGCAAGGATTGCACGAGGTACTAATGAAGCTAAAATGTTCTCAGCAGACATGTAAAATGAGAGATTAAATAACGTCTTGGAATTTCGCTTTGTATTCAATTATAAAGGAACAAAATCATCTAAATGTATTTATTTAAATATATTTTAAGAGTCCCACTTAAAAACGAAGATGAACAATACAATGCCCA